TAAAGTTTCAAATCGGATTTGGATTTGGATGTTTTTATCCATGGCGGAAAAACCTTTAATGCCAGTCCGCTCGTGCGTTCAAATTACGTCATTATCTTTATGAATGAACGGTTGTAAAATTATTACGCTACTGTTAGCGTTCACCGCTGTTCTACAGAAATAAAAAATTCGACGGGAGCGATAGCGACCGGATAATATTACTTATTTAGTTAATTGTTTAGCGTTTGTAGATAATCCTTAAAGAGACGTTTCCAACAGTTTTTCCACAGTATGAGACGATGTACGGGTGTTAATACAAATTAACACCGTAAAGCTGAAATTAATTTACTTGTCTTTTGGGATTTTTTATGTGAAACTATCAGCATTTTTTATTTATATTTCTAAAAATTAAGGGACAAACTGATTGACATATCAATGGGAACTTAGTGTTGTTTGTTGTCCGCCTATCGGCCGAGTGTTACAAGTGAATACACGTTAGCAGAAAGAGCCTTAACTATCAAATGTTAGCAGGATAAAGGACTTCTAAAAGTGCAAACACTGCGAAACGCAATATGATTTAAACTATTATGAAGTGTTAGTTCTAAATAGCATAAAAGAAATCAAATGTCAAATATGTGGCCAGTTATGACATGTCTGTACGACGGGGTACAATTTGTGTTGAGGTGCATACGGGGGAGAAACTATTACACGAATGATTGAGTTCTCATAATAATTTGCCAAGCGTTCTTATGATATCTGTCACAGAGTTCCTGGTAACCGTTACGAATCTCGTAGGAAAATTTACTTTTTGTAAATTTGAATGTCGCCATATGACCTATAATGTGTCGGTGTGACGTAAAACCCAATTAAAACAAACAAAGAAAACGGAACGTGTTAGCGTTTAAATTAGTCAATAATTCGTCGCCCTATTCTAAAAATGGTGTATCTACAATTTCCTCTTTTTTGGGAAAAAGGGGTTAAAGATTCAAGACTTCGTAACTTTTATTTGATAACTCCTAACAGTGTGGAATTCTGGACTGGTATTATTTATGTCAACATGTGATAAAAGCACTTTGTTATATACCTTTATAATTTGCAGTAATTGAAAAAATAAAAAAAAATATTTGGAGATAGACCAAAAATGTTTATTTTTAAATAAAAGAAATACTCTAACAATGGGTTTGCGGAGATATGACAAAGTAAGGCTAAAATTGTAGATACTTTTTGAGTTAGCATTTTTTAAGAGTAATAATTTTACTATAGAATATTAGTAGATTTTTATATTCTTAAGAAAATTTTCTGCCACAGTGGTTGAACCGCTGACACTGAATCACTTTATCGTTGTAAATTACTATGTCAAAGTGTAAATTCATTCACATGATCAGCATCTTGGGCCTCTCTCGAAAATGAGCCATATGACCTTAATTTTGTCAAAGCAACGTACGTAGAACTTTTAAAAAAGAAAGACAAACATTTCACAAAATTTTTTAATCAATGAACTTGCTAAAACAAACTGACATATTTTGTACCGTTATGAAAAATGACCAATCATTTTAACCATCTCTAATATTGTGATTAAATTAATGCATATCCAAATTATCATGTACTGAAATACCGAGGTATAAAGGACTGTCAAAGACTTCTATAACCCTTTTTTTAGTTCACACAATTACACAACGTAGATACTGGACATTCTAATAATATCGTCCATGAACAGGCTAAATCAAACCGAGCCGGCAACATACTAGATAATGCCGTATTGTGCTTTAAGGATTCTGCTATTATCTAATAAATATAATCATTGATGACCCGGAGAGCACTGCAACTTGCCTGCAAACTTAAAATCCATGTTTGGGCAAGACAGTGGTATTCCAATCCTATTGGAATGTTAAATATCCAAATCTTTTGACTTAACACAATGAATTATCTGACACTGATGGCAAGTCAAAATGTCTCCACAGACTTGATGTTGTAGATATTAAATTCCATAGTTTTGTGGAAGTTCTGCTAACTGAAGTCACAAGTTCTAAGAAACAACATTTCTGTAAGGACAACGTCTGATAATATAAGTAAGTCTGACCTGAAATAGACAAAATAATAGCATTATCAATTAAACAACAACAATGTTCGATACTCCAAATAGTTCCAAATGGTTCATACGAATATCCGAATATGGTTATCCGAAATTATGTGATTCTCAAACTTGGAGAAATATGTATAAAAAATTATAATACGATGAAACAAATACTAATGCAAAATATACATTCACTTATAAAACGTATAAAAGCTAAAATATATTACTTACATTCTTCAGAAATCATTTTTTAACTGTTACTTACCTAGTTAGCTTGCTGATTGAGATATGATTGTTGTTGTTATCACTGGAGTTAGAACAATTATATTGTCAGGCCCCTTCAGGTCACATGACATATATTTTTCAATTTGATTGGCTGGCACGAAAGATTAGCCTAAAATTGTTACATGTGTTGGAGATACGACGAAAAAAGGCTAACAGCAAAGCTTTCCATTGGACATAGAACAACATACAGACGCTCTATCTACAAAAGTATGACGTAAATCTTTACATGTTTTGTTTTGGAGATAGAACAAACTAATACTAAAATTAATATGCAGTTATCTCAATTTTGGTAAAAATGGAGATAGGACATTTTTAGAATAAGGCGACGATATTATTGTATAATGTAGAGCATTGACTTACACAACAAATACCATTTGATTACAATACTCAAGTATAATGCATCCATGTATATTTTAATCCTTGCAGTTTTAGAGAGCATTAAGTTACTATGCTATCGGTCTACCAAACCAATTACATGCAAATGGTTTGCAACAAAATATAAGGTTGTATGCACTTCCTTTATCTAAATTTAATGAGGTGGGGTCATCTTAAGGTTTTCACTGGATATTTTGATTTCTACAAGGTATCAATTTTTGCCATAGAGACGTAGGAAATTTCATGAAAAACGATATGACAATAAAAAGTCTTTAAACTAATAGATGTGAGTTGACCCCCTTTCTAATCCTAGAGTTTGGCTACTTTAGCTGTAACAAAAATATAAATTCGAACTTCTTTCACTCGAATTCGGAGGGCACGTGCAAATTTGTTGAAAAGATCGATAGTGAGAGCCAACCGCGGTTGGTTTTTTTCATGTTTAGAAAGATCATACATTTCGGCTGCATACGTGTGAAAGTTATTATGGTTATATTTGTTTATAATGGTATAAATGATACAAATTACTTAGCCACTACTTAAGGGAACCCCATCTTAATAGTGTCTGCTTAATATAGACGGTTGAAGAAGATCATAAATGAACAATTTAATGCAATGTGTACGAATGAGCAATTAATAAGGATTTTAATCAAAACTACCAGATTTTAAACAGGAAGCAATGTTAAATGGACATTGAATTCTGTTTAAAGTTTTTTTCTCGTAAAACAATATGTAAGGCTAGCTTATTTATCAAAGTTTAAATAAGCACTACAAGATGAAAATTACCATTTTTCACGAGTGTTTCTTCGGTATATAAAAAAGTTTTCCGACGAAATTCGTAACGTTTTCAAGGTACTTCGTAACAGCTATCAAAAGAACTCCTGAAAAGTTATCATTATAACTAATCATTCGTTCGTGTTTCAGTTTCTCTCCCGTTTGTACCTCAAAACAAATTGTTTATAAAGCTAGAAAGAAGACTTTAAGAATCTTACACTGGCTGCCGATAAAAACCGGAATATCTAGCTCGCGGATAACTGTTCGAGGTGGTAACGAGGTTCGGTCGAGTTTCCCTAGAGAATAATTATTCTCAATAGTTGCACTAATTTCCTCCTAATTAAGTACAAGTGTTTCACATCCCTTTGGTTCAGTGAGCTCACTTAACGCATGTTATGTGTATGTCTTTACATAAGGAGAATTTATAAGCACTTGCAAACTAAATGCTCCTCTGTTAGTTTCAGTAGTCATTATTTTAAGTGTACACATGTAATATACCACTGTCGTCTAATTAATGAGTTTATCCAAGCTCAGTTTTTATTTACTTCTTATTAATCAGGGATAGGGTGACTTGTAGAATAGCAACAGTATTGAATTTCGTGGGAATGGTCCTTGAAAATTTAACGTCCGGGAAATTATGGCCTACCACATGAATTTTCAAACATATTTTGTTCTTCATTTACAAAATGCGATATTCACAGCTTCAAATTTATGCTTTCAGTGAAATTCAAACACATACAATACTTATATTTCAACACATTTTGTTCATTATCAGAAGGCTCAAGTTTATTCATATTCATGTCTTGATAAGCCATGCGACCCCTGGGGTAGGGCATATTTTCACAATATTTTTACAAAGGATCACAATACATTATAACATATAAAATTTCAAACACGTGTTTAAGATTATATGTCATAGTGATCTGGCATTTTGATGATAAACAAGCATGAATGGACTTTTTGACCTTAAAATGAGTGCGACAGGTATCACTATTTCATACGCATCAAGTTTCATTGTAAATGCTTTGGAAGTTTTGAAAATAATGGCAATAAACCAAAACATTTTGAAACACATTTCCTTTAAAAAATACTTACAAGTATTTCGATATGCCTACGAAACGTAATGAATAGATTTTATTGATTAAAAAAAACACCTTTTAAATGATGAAATATGATAATTTGCTCAAGAACATTTTATTATTTGCTATACATAGACTATGCTATATTAATTAATGACTCTTACATTTAACAACAACATCTGTATATAATTCGTTTGTAGTTTGTTGTCACTTGTTGTAATGAATATCATCAAAATAAAAAGAAAATTGTATAGCATACCTTCAATAATAACCCGAATCACTTTAAAGGGGACTTGGCATCAATTACAATTGCAAACTTAGTATTCAACTTAAAATCTTAAAATAAAAAAGGAAAAAAAGTATGTGTCTGAAAGTTTCTGTATCAAACTGTAAATAAATCTAATTCATTAAATTGAAACATTATAAATGTCACTTGCCTTAATTTCAATCCTTTGTATGTTTTCCTTACTACCAACATTACAAACAGACGTACACAGGATTGTTAGAAGCGGAATAGACCATTTACAAGAAGACATCGTCACTAAGATAGTTCTGGTGTCAACCTGCTATCTCGTTTCATCTAAATAAAGTAAAATTTCACCTTCGCCCTTTCACACGGAGGAAATAATACTTATGCATACGAATGTTTAACAATTTTACTTGTCCTTTACGCCAATGAAAACAACAATACCATTCACACACTTATAAATGTCAGTATGAAAACTCTTAAGTATTTACAATTTAAATTTGAATTGCAATATAAACTCAAGGGGCGTAGCTAGGGCTTGGAAAAATATACGCGAAACGAGACAAAGGGGGAGAGGGTATACCCCTCCCGCTGGTGGGGGTCCGGGGGTTCCCCCGAAATATTTTGAAAAATTAGATGTTAAATGGCGGGCTCTGGCATGTCTTGAAGCACCTTTTGCACGTAAAACATGAAGTATTTTCAAGTCATTTTTTTCCATAAAATTGCTAAACATAGCAGCTCGGTTTACTTTTTAACTTATTTCATTGTAACTTCGAACAGATTTGTGAAGAGAAAAGGCAGTGTTCGCCTTGAAGTTATTTTATTTTACACGTGCTTATAAATACACAACAATTTCCATGTGATATTTCACTTAGGATGCAGATCATGAAATTGGTTTATGAATAAATGCCCGTTCAGTTGTAAAATGCAATTAACCAGATAACAATTTTGTCAGCATTTCTAATCAAATCGGCTTCAGTCTTATTTATCCAAGTGTTCCAAATGTACCGTATTGTTGTAGCTTAAGTTGAATTCAATCGTCACTTTACCAATCAATTAAGTTTGTCCAGGGCGAACAATAGAAAACGCCCTATATTTTTTAATCTTTTGTAGTAATTTACGAAGTACATTTATCAATTATCATGTTAATAATGCACATAAATACTAGGTGTCTTTTGTCATGACGAATCACATGCAGTGTGTATATGTAGTTTGTATGTAATACTGTTTAAGTGTACAAACGAAAATGATTACATCTCCTAGCCAACAATACAGAGCCAGACACCATGCGCTATCATGTCGCATGAAAAGACAGTACCCGTTCGTGTTTAAATATGTGTATGTGAAAACGGGGCTCGATTTACATTACAATTTTCCAATAAGTAGTGGGGCGTCCGTGGCCGAGTGGTTTAGGTAGTTGACTTTAAACCACTTGCCCCTCACCGCTGTTGGTTCGAATCCGGACAGGGACTTTTGATTATTTCATGTGTGGAAGCTATCCAGCTAGCTTAAGGAACGTCGGTGGTGAAATAATGCAAGTAAGGGCACCTGAGGTCTTTCTCCGCCAGTAAAGCTGGAACGTCGCCATGTGACCTATACTGTGTCGGTGTGACGTAAAACCAAATCAAACAAACAAACAAATTTACCATTAAGTAAAAAATTAACAAATGTATCGTGGATAAATGGTCAATCCTACATGATTTAAAGGGCCGCCCGGTTACATTCAGTTCTTCTATTTGTCTCTTTAAAATAACACTGTTATTGTCAGCCAATATAGAGAATATTGCAGCTTTATTCGAAACAATAACTTTGTGTCCGATTGTTTTTATCAAGAAATGTTGTTATTTACATTTTCTTTAATATCAAATGATTTACAATAAAGAAACACTATTAGATTTAAGGCCAAGTTAGTCCCGAGAATATTTCAGTTTTTTTAGTTTTTATTTTCATATGCGTACTATTTTGATGTACTTTTACAGTTTCTAATAAAATCCTCATTAGCCATATACCTAAGCCATTGTGTTTTGGGCAATTAGTACAGTTGTAGTGAAGTAGTATTGTGCGATCAAAATTCGCAAAATCTTTGTCGATGAAATAATCTTTGTAAAATTGTTATACGTTAATTATCAGACTTTATACTTCTGCAAAATGTTTGTACCGGGGGTATATTGAAAAAGTTCAGTGACATATTTTAAAATTCTTAAAAATGGTTTGCCTCAGGCTAAAGGTGTAATCTTAGATCTATTGTGCAAAGATTTCTCAGATCGTGAAAAAGTACGACAGTCTGCAAAGCATTTAAAAGATACCCATGCACTGCGGAACAAGTGAACACTTCCCGGCAGAAGTAATGGAAAAAAGAAGAAAACTTCTTCCGATTATGAAAAAGCCCGGTCTGAGCGGAAAGAAGCTTATCATAGTGTGGACATTAAACATCGACAAACAACTGTACAGAGGACCTGTATATGATAAAGCTTAGGGTGTTTAGAAAGGCTGTTCCTGGAATGTCGAAGGGTTATCATAAGCAAACCGTCTTGCGACTTATTAAAACTCATTAACGGATATGATTTAATTTGCATATCAAAAACTTGGACAGCTAAATCATCTGCATTAAAACTTAACGACTTTAGTAACCCTATTCATTATTATAGATACTTTCCGGTCATAGTAATGGAATATAATAAGTTACATAAACGTTAGTATAAGAAAGTGTGTTAAACTTGTGAAAAAGCTATAGACTGACTTGTATGACGAGCAACTCGCCAATATTGAAAATGCCTATATGATTCATTATGATAACCAGGGCGTCGATAACAGTTACCGCGAGCAACATGTGATTTAAAATCAAATAGTTTTGGGGACTATTTATTAGACCTTTGTAAAGCTAAAAATATGCGCGTAGTAAATGGTCGTCTGCATGACGACGCATTACGTGGAAGTTTTACTTGCATCACCCATATCGGGGGAAATGTCGTTGACTACTTTAAAGCAGCATTTCCAAACTTCAATATAGTTTTATACTTTGCCATTGAAAACTTTAACGAGAATTCGAAATATGCACCAGTGTCTTTTTTATTTTAAAACATGTACTGTTCCCAACAAACACACCAACACCGCACAAACATTTTATAAATGGTAAGTGGCACATAAAGACTCATTCGTGAATGATATAAAAATAATGTTGAAAGTTTGGACCAGGCATTAAATGAAAACAAAATTGATTATAGTTGTGATGTAGATGATGTTGTGTCATTATTTACTGACATTTTGAATAGCAAAGGTAATATTTTGAAAATAAAAACCGTTGAAATAAACGACTTGGGCTTTACATCTGTTGATGGATATAGGCAAAAGTGATATAATGAGTGAGGAATGTAGGCGTAATTATATAAAAATTATATAAAAGAGCTGTTTTTGATTACAATATGAACAAATGTAACGAAACGAGACAATTAGTGTTCAAGTTTAAAAAGGAATATACATCTTGCTGTGAAAAAACAAAAGAAAAATAGTTTAATAGAAACTTAAGTAATAAAATGAATAACATGAGGCGTCAAACCCCGCGTATGTTTTGGAATTTGTTTAGTCCTTCCGGAGAAAGAATTAGTATTGAAGATTTAATACTCATTTTGAACATTAAGCTATGGATTTTTCTGAATGACAGATTAAAGAAATGGGCCACGGATTATGATATTCTAACGAATGCGCAATTTAGGTGAAGTAAGGTAAACAAGATCAACAAGGAAAGACTCATTTCAGCACGACCTAACTGATAGACGCGGTTGATGGTATAAGCTTATTAACTCAGGCATTGATGGCTGTTTGGTATTTGACGATCAATGTATGACAGTGTCAAGTTTTGTGTGAGTCATATGAATTCTCTTTCATGATTGTTTCGAATGTAGCTTGGGACTTTTGTAAGGAAGATAACTTATCCGATACTGTTGTCCGTGTTTAAGAATGATATAGAAATGCATCTACAGCAAACTCTGGCCATGCAGGTTTTGCCCTGGACCAATTGTCTAAGTATGAATTACTGTTTGCAGACGATGGTGTATTGTTTTCTGAAACAAAAGAAGGTTTACAAGACTCACTGAATTATTTAGAAAATTTATTGCAAAAAGTGGAATTAATTTCAATATATCAAAAAAAATGTTATTCTATGGGTAGAATAAGTGACTCTTTTAAATGGACATTTTCTGGAAATGAAAAAGAAATTGTTAGTTTGTTCAATTATTTAGGTGTTGTGTTTTCTAGTGCGACTAAAACTTTGGTCAGGATAGGAATAAAGGCCATGAATTCACTTTTTAACACGTGGCAGGAATTTACCTGTTAATATTATTTGTTTGATGCTTATGTATTGTCAGTTGTGAATTATGGCTGCGAAGTATGGGGCTTCTTAAAGGCTGAGAATTGAGAACGGGTTCATAAGACATTTTGTAAATGGTTGCTAAATGTAAAATGAAAAGCAAATACATTATAATCACTGTATGCAGAACTGGGCAGACGACCATTGTGCATTAATAGATATGTTCGAATTGTTAAATACTTTCTAAAATCGTATAGCAGAAAATGGAAAACTGTATTATTAGAATTATTGTTACAGACCAACGACTAGACTTAATGTTACTGTAGATCGGTCGTCGAAAGTTCATGTATGTGTTTTATTGCAAAATGCTGGATCTTGTGATGTCTAGGAATTTCAAGAGTCAGTTAATACAGATGTATTTATGCCAGTGTTTATAGATATTTATATGACTAATTGGTGTGCTAGTGTTCAGACATGCAGTTTGTAATTTTTGTGTCGCCTCTACGGAGTAGTGGCGACATATAGGGATCACTTCTCCGTCGTCTGTCTGTCCGTCTGTCTGTCCGTCCATCACAAAACTTGTCCGGACTACTTCTCATAAACTATTGGTGCAATTTCATCCAAACTTTACAGGAATGATCAGTACCAAGTCTAGTTGTGCATATTGTGAAACTTTACAGGATTGATCTGTAGCTCAAGTTTTTGCACATATTGCACGGGTTTTCCGGTTGAATGATTTTTGTCCGAGTTATGGCCCTTTGATAAAAAGGTGTTTTTTTCTGTGTGTTGCAAGATACACAAAAGCTTGTCCGGACTACTCCTCATAAACTACTGGTGCAATTTCATCCAAACTTTACAGGAATGATCAGTACCAAGTCTAGTTGTGCATATTGTCAGCATTTTCCGGTTCAATGATTTTGTCAGAGTTATGGCCCTTTAATAATTTTTATTTTTAAAGTTTTTCCGGACTACTTCTTTTATACCACAAATGCAATTTCAATGAAACTTTACAGGATTGATCTGTAGCTCAATTTGTTGCACATATTGCACGGGTTTTCCGGTTGAATGATTTTTGGCCGAGTTATGGCCCTTGATAAAAAGGTGTTTTTTTCTGTGTGTTGCAAGATACACAAAAGCTTGTC